CGTATAAATGGCTCCATCGCAACATATTATCTTAAGTGTTTTCCGTGCAAAAATAGTAGCAAACGAAATTTTGGAAAGATTTATCTGTTATCGTTGTGTCAGCCACGGTTTTTCTTTCAAAGCTCAAGCTTTCGGGTTGGTTTTGGGGGGATTTTTTTTTCTCCACAAAGAAAGTTAATGTGTATTCTAGGTGATGACCAGAATTGCTAACAAGTTCAGACATCCTCTAAACTTTTTTTAATCGACAAGAGAAATGGATGGGCATTACATTTGTCCCTCCGCAACCCCCTCCATGTCCTCCTCCGCAGAGCTGGATGAAGGGAACACACTTTCATTCTCTTGGCAGTTCCCAGACACTCCTTGACAGCTTTACTGCCTGTCTACGAAAGCGCACTGGTATCTATTATAGAGCTACACTTTGGCCTACACAACACTGTCTTGTAGTTGTACTTTTGTTGTTTTGTTTGGTTTGTTGTTGTTGTTGTTTTGTTTCTTGTTTTTGTTGTTTTGTTGTTGTTTTATTGTTGTTGTTTTGGTTGTTTAAAAAAATTTTGTTTGGTTTGTTTGGGGGTTTTTTTGGGGTGCTGTTTGCGCAACTGTGAATATAATATGTACATGTAAAGGCGGCCTACTGCTTGCTTCTGTCTAGATTGAACTCATCTGAATTTGAAACACTTTTACTGGTTATTTTTTCTTTTCAACCACACTATTCTTAGATCTTTAACTTACATTCTTTTTTCAGGAAAGCTTTGCATTACTTATACATTGTGTCTCGTTTTGTTGCTGTTGTTCGTTTGTTTTTGGTTTTTTTTTTTTCGGGGTGGGGGGGTTAAACATTACCTGGAAATACTGACGTTATCGTTATCATTTGCGTGTATGCCTGGAGAAAGGTCGAGATCCCAATTGTGGGCAAAGCTAACTTTTTAGCAACTGGGTGAAAAGGTCCCGAAAAAGTCGTAACTGGTCAAAACTTTAGTTCCATCAGAAAACACACGTTTAATCATTTTTAATAACATATTGAAAGAATTTTAAAGTCAATACTATTCTAAGTTTAAAATTTTTAAAATTATTTTTGCAACTTGCTGTAAGTCTGTACTTCACCAAAGGTTAAAAATGTGTTAGACTTTGGGTTAACGTGCTAAAGTTAAAGCTATGTTTCTCC